ACCACAAAGCCGCTTCCCCAATCCTTTGCATAACCTTGGTCTCCTCAGCACCTCCTCCCACCCTTCCTTCTGCTCTACCACCTCCTGCTAAAGCTTATCTGCTCTACCACATCCTCATTCTCCTCCTGTCCATAGAGTGGTTTTTCTTATTCTCACGTAGTGCTTTGGCTCCCCAGTAGTAAAAAGTAATACTGTGGGGAAGTGAAGGCATAAAGAAGGGGGATGTGGCTGTAAGAATAGAGGGAGTGGAAAGAGACAGAATGGAAAGATAATTGCCCTGAGAAACTTGATCTAATAGGCCTGTTTTGGGTATGGGCTTGGATGAAATCACGTCCAGAGGTCCCTTCCAAAACAAGTTCTCTGCGCTTCTCTGCGGTGATCTGAGAGGTTGTGTGGGAAATATATGGGGCTAGATGACTTATGAGAAAGAGAGACATAGATGAGTTATGAGAAACAATATAAAGATGAATATATTCAGCCTACTGCTGTATCCATCTTCTTTGAAAGAAGTTTACATCTCCCAGCTCTTGGAATTGGACTCTGATGACCTGAGCTGCCCGCAGACCTCCCTAATATCACAGGCTCAACTGAACCAACAAAATTGAAACATGCAAATTCGCTGGGGAGGAAGGATGAAACTTAGTGCTAGCTATGCTACAGTTGCCTCAAAGAGTAATGTTCTTTGTAAGACTAGTACTTTCATTGGAGTATTTTTTGTTTATTATAAGCTTTACGTTTTTAGTGGTTTAGTTATTTAGATGTCAGTGTTCAGATGTCAGACACCTCTCCTGTAATAAAAGGTCAAGGGAGTTGGGACTGTTTAGCTTGAGGAAGAGAAGGCTCCAGGAAGAACTCATTGCGATCTTCCAGTGCTTGAAAGGAACTTACAAGTGGGAAGGGCACCAACTTTTTACAAAGATAGCGACAAACACAACAAATGTTGGACTGTGGGCAACATTTTCCTAACAACAGTGCAGTCACAGCAGCTGTGAAACAGTGGGTCACCTCCACTACTGCAGTTTTTTATGTGCATGGTACACAGGCTCCTGTTCATTGCTGGTGAAAATGCATACCTAATGATGGCTGTAACTATGTTTAAAAAAAAAAAAAAGTGTTTTGTAGCTAAGAATGTACTCTATTGAATAGTGTTATTGTGCTCTTTGTATCCATTGTAGTCTCCATGGAAACAAAAGGGACGCATTACTTTTGGAGCACCTTATGTACTTAAGAGTGGGATTCACAAGGAGCAGGTACTGTTCTGGGATTGTTAAAGAAAAGTATTGATTAATTATGTTGTTATGTATGATGAACTCTCTGCTATGAATTTACAATATGTGGTGAAAGTATAGGCAAAATCAGGAGAGTAAACAAACTGAACTGAGTTGTCATATGATAGAGGTACTTGTTATGATGTTGGCACTCTATTATGAATTAAGCTTGATGATTATGAAGTGACTTTAGTTGTGCAGAGATTTGAACAAGGGGATAAAAATCTAGAATGATATAGCAAAAGAAAAAGATAAAAGGATACAGGTAGAAAAAGTAAGCTGGGGCAGGAGGTAACTGAGGGAAAAAAATCTGGAAGGTATAGAGCACAAACCCTGTTGAAATACAAAATGAGGATAAGTACAGATTATAATACTGTGGCAATATATGAATCTGAAAGTGAGGCTATGGAGATAAAAGGCAATGAAGGAGAAAGTAATAAAATATCAAATGTATTAGGGTTTGCATATATATGTATTTTTCAGGAAATTTTTGAGATGTGATAAATGTGGATCATCAGGTGGGAAATAAATAATAATACCTTTAACTGCAGTTCTTCCTGAGTAGCAACACAGAAGTTGACATATCTAAAATTCTCTTAGACTGCATAGAGCTAAAAAAGGTAGCTCTCTGTGTATTGTTCTAAGCAGACTATCCCTTTGTACAACCATTGCAATTTTTCTATATTCTATAGCTTGAAGGGGAGCCTAAAGTATTTTGTAGGGCTCAGTATTTTGAATTTATCTCAGTAAAGATTTTCTGAATAATATTGTTTCAGGAAAATGGATTAGGAACTGCTCAGCAGCTAATAAAGGTGATAGATTTCTTTAAAGGAGGTAGTAGACATCATGTGTTAGTTGAAAATCCAACTGTACTTTCTGTAGTTTGAAAGCTTGCTTTGAAAGATATGATAATTTCTAACAGCAGTGGACTGCAAAATGTTCCAATAAATTTGTAATAATCGTAGGTCATCTGTACAGATTGATCTGACTTATTTGTATTTTTCCAGCACCTCTTTTTGTCTGTCAATTGGCCTCTTTCAGACAAAATTGGTATTCGTGCTTCTCTGGTCCCAAACAAATGATTCTGTCACATTTATTTTTGGTATTTTTTCTCCAAAATAGCCAAAGAGTTTGCTTCTATGTGAAACTAAATGGTGCTAATCAGTCTGATTAGACAGCCTGCTATCCAGACCAGTTTGATTGGATGAGATACAAAGGGTACTGTGGTGGAGAAACATCATTTTGTCTCCTTCACAGCTGCTACACATGATTATTCAGACTCTTTATGCCACAGATGAAAAACCTAACCAGAAACAGATGGGGATTAAATATTTTTAGAAACAGTATTGCAAACTATTAACAAGAGGAAGAGAAAAAGTTTGCAACTTTGGAGTCTAACGAATTTTTGAACCTGCTTGTTAAAGTATATTCAGTATTGTTTGTATAAATATTGTGATTCTTTCTTGTGGACAGAACCAGTGTAAAATGCAAATTTTTCAGATCCAGCACAAGCTGCTCTAAAACGATATTTTAAAGTAACATACAGGTCACAAATCACTCGTTTAAAGTTTCTTATCTTTTCTGATTATTTTAATTTTGTATAATTTCATCATCATGTAATTGTCTTCAGTGTCAGATGCTAGAAAAACAGAAAATTTGGACTCTCAGATGTAAGAAGGTTTTTTGACAAGCTTGAAATACATTTAGTGACATCCTAAACATCTTCATGATTAACTCTTTAGTTAGGTCTGTTCAGTTATCATAGTTTTCCTGCTAGAGGAAATGATTCTTCTCCTCTGAATTACAGTGTCAAAAAATGATCAATTCTGCTTTTCAACTGTGCTTTTGATAAGGACATTTTAATGAAGAATTAATCCTTCAGTTTTCTAGAATATAAAACCTGCATGTGTGATAAGGGTAGATGTCTTTTATCTCTTTATAAAAGCAACCAATGATGCAGAGTTGTCAAATGTACTAAGCAGAAAAGTCCTGATTTTCTAGCTCAGGATGAAGAAACCTCAAATGTGTCAGGGTTGAATATTGCTCTAGTCCTCTGAGGGCCACTTCAGGGTCTTGAGCTTCCATTGTAGAATTCCAATATGGATGCAGGTGGAGTTTATCCAAATCCTAGTTAGTGAGTATTTCATTATGTCCTATGGGAAGTAAATCATTACAGTATGATTTGAGAAAAAAAAAATTCTTAAATGGTTTCATAGGTTTTTTGAACCTATCACACGCTAACTGAATATAAAATATTTGACAAGGAGAATGTACTATTTTTTGATGAAGTACTGAAGTCCTCATCCATTTTTAACTCCCAGACAATTGCTGACACTGACTGATAGATTTCTTGTGTTCAAGAACTGTGAAGTAGAATTGTGAAGTATACATTGTGAAATTTGTAAAGTAAGAGCTGCTTTCTCACTGTAGCTCAGTGATAACACCAGACTTTTCACTTCCACAGTGAGATTGTTACTGTATGTAAAGGCAACTACATTTAGATGTATCTTAGAGATCTCATGTCTGTAAGAAGTTTGTCACTTTCAACTCTTTCTGGTTTCACTGAGGAGTAAGTTCTGAAAACCTCCAAGTTAGCTATGTTACCAAAGTAAGCCTTTAACACTGTTGTGTTTGACAAGTTCTACTATTATTTAATATTAAGTAAAACCTATTTCTTAATTTTATACCTATCTCATTTCATCTAATCTATTTTGGAATTCAGTTTCTCCTGGACAGTTTATTATTTCTTCTTACGTTATCAAAACATATACTTTTTTTCTGTTGTCTTGATCAGAGGTTAAGAACATATACAGGAGTCATGAGGACAAATTACTCACAAATTATTTTTCTGGAACTTCAGATACGTACTGGAGTTGGGGTGAATATTTTGTTTGTTTATTTGAAAGTGGTTTCCAACTGTGTATCAAATATATTGTAACACCGTACTTGTAGAAATGGCCAAAAGAAAAAAAAGAAAGGTTCATTAATTTTAGTCATTATGGCATTTCCTGATTTCTGAGTTGTTAATCACAGTTGGGATATGCTAAATAACATTAAAGTGATAATTTTTCTCAGTGTTTGTTGGCATAGCTTTTCTTAAGCATTTTCAGTTGCGCAGGGTAAGTTTTCCATTGTATCTCAGGTGTTGAATTCTCATTTATTTTGCATTCTGAGTGTAATTTGTACAATGCAATTGTTATTAGTTACTATTGTTTTACAGTAGGGATAAATTCCACAATTAAAAGCTTAAAAACCTCTTGAGGCAGAAATCTGCAAAAACATGATTAAAGACATCTCATTTTCCAGAAAGGTTCATAAACCAAAGTCAGGATACCACTGTGGATAAGCAAGCAACAGGAAAGAACAAGAGTAGGAAAATGACTGAAACCACAGAAGAACATGATTAATTCTTATGTCCTAAACCGGATAGAGCCATAAATGCCCTTCTTGGTATAAGTGAACAGAAGTTATTCAATTGGCAGAGCTTCATTTGCACGGGGAAAAAGAAAAGAAAAAAAAAAGATGTATCTATATATTCTAAAATTGAATTTAGTACTGTAGCTTCTTTCACAGTAATGAATGTCACCTATTATCCTTGGTTCTTAATTTGATAGCACTGATGATGTCTTAAAGTAAAAGTAGGGGCAAAGGGAGAGAGCCCTGTAGCCCAGTGTGCTTTATGTTTAGGTACCAAATGTGAGCTGTATCTGCATGATTGAATGCACCATGAGATTTGTCTGTGAAGTAATCATTTATTATGCAAACACTAGGACTTAATTATATCAAATTTTATTAAATATGTACATGTTATTACTATTTAAAAGAACCAGTATCATTCTCAGATCTGCAAACTTCTCTCTAGCTTTGAGAGCTGCGGCAGAGCCTGTATTAATGCTAGTCTGAAAGCTGTAAGCTAATGCAGTGTCACTGCGAGTGACACAGCACCACCCTTGAAGGCAAAACTTCATCAGCTGTATTCTTTAGTTACAATACAATCAAAAAAATCTTTCACGACAATAATATATTTGTACATTGCTTATATTTCCCAACTCTGTCCAATTTGTAGGATGGAAGCAAAGAATTCTGTCATGTTTAGGATTCTCAGATGCTGAAAAAGGGAATTCGTACCAGAAACATCTGATGGTAAAGGCCCTTTAGAGGCAGAGAAGGGGGCACAGGAAGCAAAGAGAAAGACGCGTCCATCTCCTCTGCTGATTTTCAGCCAGGAGGTCTTAATATTTTTCTTGCTTAGGGTCCCGTGGCCTCAGTGAGGATAATGCTTCCTATCAGTGACCCCCCTTCCCATCACCTCTCCACTAAACTGGTAGGTCAGCTTCTTCTTGACCTTTTTGACCTCCCCTGTCTTGCCGTAGTTTCTCAAAGCCCGTGCCATCTTCTGGTAGGTCATTTTCTTGCGATTGCCTTTCTGTATTCCCCAGCGATGTGCCAATGCTTCTTTGTGTTTGGAGGAGAACTGGAAAGTACCTTTTTCTTTATCTACCCACCAGATGCTGTCCTTCATGTCTCCACTGCGAAGAAGGTCCAGAAGGAACTGATACAGACGAATCTTTTTCTTGCTGCCTGCAAGAGAGAAGAAAGGCAGTGGAACATTACTATTATTGTGTAGGGTCTGATGGAACAGGAGAATTTGCCAGTCGTGTATTTCTTCAATTTGTTGTATTCATAAGAAGAGACAGTGTTGCACCATAAAGACATAAAGTGGATTGGTTTGCCAAGAAGAAAAACTTGAGAATAAGAAATTTCAAAGACCTAACCTTTGTTATAATTTGAAAATACTTGAAAAACATTATTAGTTTGAAACGAATCTGAAACTAATTTGGACAGGCTATACAAGTACCGAGCCATCAGAGCTCAACATTCTTAAAAATCAGTTCCTTAAGGTTCTTATCTTGTTTTTCACTTCTGTTAGAGGAAAATGGAGTAGAAATGGCAAAACCTGGGGAGAAGCCTGAATACACAAAACAAAAGGAAGAGGTAGGAGTACATGAAAAAATGGTATTTGAGATAACAGACACAACTATGGTGACAAAAGATTCAGAAGACAGGAGAGTGCAAAGGAATCAGGGAAAGTGGAGGTTTGGCAGTGGGATAAAATACTAACACAGTAGTTCAACTTTTTTATTCATTATTGTAATTTTAATGTAACAGCTGCTCAGCAAGAAGCACTCTTTTCACTGACCTGTCTCGCCATGCATGATTCCAGGCCCAGGGTCCGCGCCATCAGTCTCCCCATCTGATACCTCCAGTGGTGGGCTCTGCCTCTCAATATCCTCCTCATCAGAACTGGGCTGTCGTGGAGAGGAGTACTGTAGGCACATCCGGGGCAAATAGGAAACCTTTGAGAGAAAAGAGTAGTAGGGGGAGCAAGTAGCAACAGAGAGTAAGGGCATTCAGGAGAAAAAGTGAGATGTCAGAGAGAGTTACAGAGAAAGGGGGGGAAAGCAACAGGCATATGAGTTTGTTTAGGTTAACAGTGAATGACTTAGAGGCATTAAAAATAAATACTACGCAGCTAAAAAAACCCTCCACATAACAGTTGACACTTAATCTATATGCAAGGATGCATCTTAAAAAAAGTATTTACGAGAGAAAAGGAGAAATTATAATGTGAAAGTACTTTCCCATATGTTATATCCTATGCAAGTGATATTGTCCTCCTTTCCCCATACCTCCTGAGTACCTTCTCTTTCTAGTTTACATACATTTCTTCTTGCTGATAATAGAGATATCTGTATCTCTTATATATAAGAGAAGATATATATCTATATGTCTATAGATAGAGAAGGTGGAAAAAGTTCTACATAATAACAGGTTTTCTAATATGCTAAGAACTTTTTTGAGTTTTGTTTTCTTTCTTTTTTCTGGTTGAAGACAATATATTCCTATAATTGGTGTCCTACCTAATATACTGATAATCATATGAATGTTTTTTAAAAATGAAAATTGAAACTCAAGCCTTCTCGATAAAAAAAAAAGCTATATTGGTAATAATTGCTTTGAGTATACCTTCAGAGCTTCCAAAACACAGCCAAACTCCTGCTATATAGTGATTATGTACCAAGATAGTTGAGTTTCTGATCTCCGTTATCTATCCCCTATTTACAACCACTTTTGAGATCAACTTCCTTTCTGCTTTTTGAAGCTGCTCTTTTGGATTTGGCAAAGCTGAACAGTTGTGCCCCAGCATAGCCTCTTTGACTGTCCTTGACTCTGTTGTTCAATTCCTTCCTCAGATTTAGTAGCTTCTGACAACACTAAATGATTGTGGGACTGCATTTATCTCTGAGGCCAGCGTTACACATGTCTATCAACTTCTTGTCCTGAATTTCCCCCTTGAGGAGAGAAATAGGTTTACCACTGGGGATATATCATATTGGATTGTGTTCTCTTTTCCTAAGTGGCTATCTGAAAGTTCTCTGTTGATGGGGATTTCTCATCTGCAGAGCTGGCAAGCTGGCTTCTGTGCTAGGGAATTCCCTTGCCCTTACATGGAGGTCTTGTCAGGAACAGTATGGAATACACCACAGCTCTGCAAATTCTCAGTTGCAGTGTGGTTTGTTGGGGCTCATGATCAGATCCCTATGACTATTGCAGCTCCTTGATGAAGAATAAGAGATAGACTAGTCTGAGGGGCAGGGAGTAAGAACCCAATTTCTAAATTAAAAAAAAAAAATCCTCAAATATAGCAGGAAATAAAATGTGGTTCTCGTGAAATGAGCCAGATTGCTAACCATGGGAGGTGAGCTGCTTTTGAATTGCTCTTCCTTCCCTCCATCAAGACACGACATTTTTAGCGTGATTCCCTCTCTACAGATTTAGATTGTGAGGCACAGAGTGGGTTTTCATTTCGTGAGTCATACCACCCACCCGATGTCAGGCTTGGCCAAGTGGTGCTTTTCAGATGAGTTTTGCACCAGTTTAAAATGTCCCAATAAGGAGTGTGCAAAGTGCTGGTTTCAAGGCAGAGCAGCTGGCGGTTAATGAGTTGGCAGATTGGTTGGAGCTGAACACGGCAGGAAGGCCAGGATTGGGTAAGAGTGTGTGTAAGTTTCCTGTCAGATCCCCAAGAGCGAAACTTTAGCCCTCACCACAGAGTCACCTTCAGCTTTTTTACAGTTAAGAGAGCTGTAGCCTCAGTGGTAGCAAGGAAAGAAGAAACAATGTCAAGGGGGAAGGGGGAATGAGAAGGTGGGGTGGTGTTTTAGAACGGAGGAAGAAGAACCTGCTGCCTCTGTAAAGACAAAGGCTATGGAAATCTAGAGTGCACTGGGGACCAGTTTCTGCTGGAGCTGGAGTGGGAAAGTGGGAACACGCTATGGAAGATGAACAGCATCTCACAAGGAAAGGAAGGTCCAGAGACTAACCTAAGCACTAAACAAAATTTCCCCATGCTGTCTCTACTTTTCCTTTCTGCTGTACTTTTCTTACACCCAGTTCAGCAGTGCCTCAGTGTAAGTCCCAAGTGTGCTACACAGAGTTGCAGAGTACTTGCTATTTTGTTTGGAAGAGCCAACTTGTTAATACAAATCTGGAGAGAGAAAACTTCTAGCTGCTTTCTGTATTCTGATACCTTCTCAGAATCTGTGGCATACAGTTGTAGTTTTCCTCCTTCTAAAGCTTTTCACAGTTTTCACAGAATTGTAGAATTATAGACTCAGAGTTGGAAGGGAGCTTTAAAGGTCATCTAGTCCAGCTCCCCTGCAATGAACAGGTTGCTCAGTGCTTGATCCACCCTCACCCTGAAAGTCTCCAGGAATGGGGTATCAACCACATCTCTAGGCAACATGTTCCATTTCCTGACCACCCTCGCTATAAAAGATTTTTCCTTATTTTCCATCCATTCCTTTCACTCTGCCTTCAAAATAAATATTCCTTTCTTCATTTTCTATTTGATGAGATCATCTGTTTGAAGGTACTGTTGCCCAAAGATTGTTTGTGCTTTGAATTTGATTTGACAAAATAATATTCAATCAACTGAAGATCAGAGAAATACAAGGTCTGTTCTGAAAGTAATGCTTTCTATTTTTTTTATGTTGGCCCACAACCTCAGAGGTAGATGTTGGTGGTATGGCAGCAGCAGAGGATCCGATTACAAAATGGTGACTGACATGGAAGTGTGTCTGAAACAAAGGTGTGTCACTGAATTCCTCTATGTGCAAAAAATGGCACTAATTGACCTTTACTGATGCTTGCTGAGTGTTTATGCAGATCAAGCAGTGAATGTGAACATAGTGAGGCAGTAAATGGTGTATTTCAGCACTGGAGACAGCAACATTGAAGGGCAACATTTTTCTAGCAATGATGCAGTCATAGGAGCTGTTAAACAATGGGTCACCTCTGCCAATGCATATTTTTATGAGCACAGCATGCAGGCTCTTGTTCATCGCTGGTGAAAATGCATAGTTAATGGTGGTGACTATGCTGAAAAACAGCGTTTTTGTAGCTGAGAATTTGGTCTATCGAATAGTGATATTGTAATTTCTGTGGAAATAAATAGGAGGCATTACTATCAGAAAGATCTAGGTTTCTTTGCATGTTTTTCCTTAATTTGCAAAGTGTAATTCTGCACGACAGCCAGGGGTGCAGTTAGTTAACTGAAAAATTCAGCTGAGGAATAGATTTTCCTTCCTGTTTCAATTTCCTTAGAAATGCCTTGAATAGCAAAGTGTTGCCTAGAACTGCGACTGAGATGCACTGAAGTCTGAACTTCAGAGCATGTTGAGCACCACCTGCGTGAGCAACTATAGGTTAAAGTTAAAAAAAAAACAACAAAACAAAGATTCCCAGCTGGTTAGGAAGAGGAGGGTAGTGATGGGCATCTATTATTGTCTTCTCTCCCTTGGGAGAGAGGGAACACAGTGCAGCAAAATTAATTCTCTGACAGTACTCCTGAGACAAAAGATGACAACTGAGAAAAATGAAAGTGGGTTGAACAGAAGTACCCTCTCTTATTTTTTGGTGGTTTTTCCAAAGACATTTGTAACATAGTCAATTTTTATTCTTTGCCTTTGGTTAGATGTAATGGTTGTTACATGCTAGCTGTTGCACTGAACAACTGGAAGGACTAGACGATTCCCATAGGCTGATGTTCTATTATTTGTCCTAATTATATATATATATATTTATATGTTATATATATATATATATTTGCAGCTACATCTTATATTCATGATTTTTTTTTTTCCTCAGTGATAGGTAAGAAGTTTGATGGTTTTCAGTAGGTCAGTTTTCTGTTGATCATGTTAACTTACTCAATTTTTAAGTTGTTTATAATTTATACGGCATTTACATGCAATTTCAGTTTGAATACTAAAAAAAAACACCCTAAAATAACAATTGTGTGCATACAGTTTCTCTCACAAAACCTCAGCATTGGCACCGTTACATGCAGAAGGGTAATCGGCAAACAGTTCTTTCTCTGGTCCCATCCCTAGCCTGTCTTGTATTGAGCACATTGTGCCTGCAGTTTGTCTGCCCTGGGAAACTCCTTGGTACAAGATAACACAGCTTTCTGCTTGCTACCAGTAATGACATGGAGCACATTCTTGTTGGATCAGGAATTAAAAGTGGTCTCCATACCCACTTTGCTCTAATATCTTTGCAATACCATGGAACTCATTAAAATTTCAGCTTTAGTGAGCATACACTGGCACTTGGGTGACTGATGTACTTTGGAGAACTTTTTTTTTTTTTTTTTGCAAGAGGCGAGAAAGTGTGTTTTGGCTCATGATTTAGCTACATTCAGATAAAAACAGAGAGAAGAATTCTTTGAGAGTAGCTCTGCTGAGAAGGACTTAGGGGCCCTCGTTGATGAAAAACTTAACATGAGACAGCAGTGCACGCTTGCAGTCTGGAAGGCCAATGGTATCCTGGGTTCCATCAGAAGATGGGTGGCCAGCAGGGTCAGGGAGGTGATTGTCCCCCTCTACTCTGCCCACACGAGGCCCCAGCTGGAGTACTGTGTCCAAGTTTGGGGCCTCCAGTGCAGGAAAGATGTGGAGCTTTTGGAGAGGGTCCAGAGGAGGGCCATGATGATCCATGGGCTGAAGCATCTCTCCTGTGAAGACAGGCTGAAGGAACTGGGGTTGTTCAGCCTGGAAAAGAGAAGGCTGCAGGGAGACCTCATTGCGGCCTTCCAATATTTAAAGGGAATTTATAAATGAGATAAATAAACTTTTTACAGGGATAGATAGTGATAGGATAAGGGGAAAGCATTTTAAACTAAAGGGAGATTTAGATTAAATATAGGAAAGTTTTTAACTGAGAGAGCATTGAAGTGCTGGAACAGGTTGCCCAGGGAGGTTATGGATACCCCAGCCCTGGAGGTGTTTGTGGCCAGGTTGGATGGGGCCCCGGGCAATCTGATCTTGTATCTGATTTAGGGCCCTCCTGTGGTAGGGGTTTGGAACTTGACCCTTGAAGTCCCTTCCAACCCAAGCCTCTTTATGATTCTATGATTCTGTGAAAACACAAGTAGGCTGGCCACGGTATAAAATCACCAATGACTTGTCTTTACTTGGATTTCTTGCAGCAGGTCATATAAATTTGCAGGGGTCACTTGGAATTTTTAAAACATTCCTGACACTTGGGAGTTCAGAATACTGCCCAGGAGTCAAGGACAATTTTGCTATTACAGCTTTTCAGGCCCAGTTCCTCTGTAGGATTTCAGAACAGTTTATTGTCATTCCAAATTTTAAAAAAATCTGAATTTCAGAAAACTCCACAAAGTGCAGTGATCTTTTTATGCGCATTTTGAGGAACGTGGTTTCTCATCATCCGGATAAAACTAAAGTTTAAACCACATTTGTCCTGAGAATGAAGAGTTTTACATCAAGTACTTGTGCAGTAAGAATTCATATAATTCATAAGCAATCTCTTTTGCATAAAATTAAGCATTCCCTGATGCAATCTTTTCCTTGTCCTTAACCATCACCATAATTCTGCATAAGGGTTGGTGACCATACCTGATGGTTGAGTCCAATATGTGTGGTTGGGATTGCAGAATCCAGGACATGCATTTGTTCAATCTCCATGTGCCTGTAGAGCTGCTGCAGCTGGGGAGGCTGTACACTCTGCAGTTCTGTAAAGTGGTTATCTCCAAAGGTCTCAAACTCACTGTGCATGTGGTGTGGATGATACTCCCAGTAATGATCTAAAGAAAATAACAGTTTGTCTGTCATTACAAAAGCAAGAAACATGGCATTTATGTGCCTTTCACTGGTTTCTACTTCTGCCACTCTCCTTTCTGCCTACTCCATGCCATTCCTTTAGACCTGTCTTTCCTTGGTGACAATCTCTATAGATTTCTGTAAAGTTTCTTTTCCTAATCTCCAAAACATGTATGGCTGGAAAGCAGTACTTATGCCTCTTTATATAGGAAAGTAATCTTAGAAAGAGCGATGGATTTTGGTGAGAATGTAGCACAAGATGCGAAAGATATTAATGCTGGCACCTGTCTTAGGAAGAGACTGTAACAATTCTACCTTTTCATTCTCAAAAAATATCCCAATTTACATATTGTCAGATTGTAGTTACAATTTTCCTCATGTCATAGAAACAAGCAGATGAAAATTCTTTATTTTCATCAACCAGCAAAAAATTGCAGGAGTGCTACACACAAGGCACAGGACTTAGCAACACATTTCTGTAATCTGTTTCTTAATTTATTTACTTTTGAGATCAAATTAATTTCCATGCAATTCTCAGTTTTAGATCACTGTTCAATATAAGCTCTCAAAAATTTTCATAATTTTTTTGCTGCTCCAAATTGAAAACTGCTAGAGGAAATTTGTATTGTTCCGTGCCATATTTCTCTCTTACATGCAGTAGCTGCAGTCAAATTATGTACATATTTATGTGTACTCTTGTTTAAAATCAAAGTCATCATGTCCTCTGCTCTCACTAAGCTTGGATCTAGCCTTCCAGACTGTAACTTTTCATACACTGCTCTATGCAACACCAGAATTTCTTCATAATTTCATGTAACTCCTACAGTTTATATCTTACTGTTTCAAGTTTTCTTCTTCTGTATTATTATAAATAATTTCTTCCCTACCCTTCACACGTTTTTAAGTTGTTAATATGTACTCTTACAGTCTACTCCTAATAATCACTTTGCCCAGCTGCATGTGTTTAGTGCTCAGTCTTTCAGTAAAAATCAGTATATTCAGCTCCCTAATTATACCTGTGCATTTTTCTAAATTCTCTCCCAGCTCTTGGCAATGTTCTGAATGTGACGAGCAGAATTAAATATGTTGTTCCAAGTGTAGTTGTACTGAAGTGATAAAGAGAAGAGCAATTGCTTCATTCTGCAATATGGTGTTATTGTGTATGACATTATCTAACATGCTAGGAATATTGTTTTCTCAATATCAATTTTGTTCTTTTTCTCAGCTTTGAACTCCTCATCCTTCCCCATTTCCATTTCAAGCAATTAAGTCTAGCCTCACTGGGGATCCGAAAATGGGGATTGTGACTTTGAACATGGCTTCCTTTAGAGGGAGCCCAGTGATATGTTTATTACAAACATAATTGTACTTGGTAACTTGTAGCTTGTAGCTGCAAGGATCAGGCCTGTATTTGGAAGCTCTAGCAGACCATTCACTATGCTAGTGATTACTTTCTTTGTCCTTCCTGCTTTTTGAATTGTGGGTGAACCATGGACAAACCAAACTTCATGTTTAAGGGATGGAAATTTGCTCATAAAAGTACTTGGGGAGCTGCTGTATTACTTTGTAATTTCTTTGTTTTGTTGTATAGTATAGTGCTTTCCATGGGCTAAACATGATTTTCTAGCCCAAAGTTTTAATGCATAATTATAAAATAGCAACTTTTCCTAGCTTAGTGTTAGAGACCAATTTTATTTTCTCTTGTAGAAGGGATTTTATGGATGCAGCATACCCAGGTACTTGTTACATTCAAATCTGTTCAGGGAATAGCAAAGCATGTGAGTATGACTGCACAGATTATCTATCTGTCCTTGCAGGAGGGTTCAGACACTTTCAATCTGAAGCTTACTTGTTTATTTGGAAGTCTGAGCCATACTAACTCATGCTTTTACTTGGTTAATTTACTGAAGAGTTCTTTACTTATAGTCAACCACGGAGACTGATCTACCACTAGCAACCCATATGATAACTTGTAGTGAATTGTGAATATGTTGCATGGTTAGTCTATGTTTGTGTTTCTTAGAGTGATTTCACTCTGCTCCTTGTGCAGAAGCTCCTCTGTCAGCTGTCAGTGTATCTTCTCAAAGATCCTTTGAATTTGAATATCTACTGCAGCAAAAGAGGTCAGTTAATAATCATAAGGATGACAAAGCCTAGACAAAACTCTGTCAGGATGTCAACAGTACATCTTCAGCTGTCTGACTTGTAGTAGCTATGGTAGTAAGCAGTCAAGACAATATGTTTCTAACATGCATTGCCATGAGTACTTGCGCATACTCCAGGCAGTCTACCTCTGATTCTTCTTAAATGTTTTTATTAGCAATGACATTTTTGTCCTTACAGGTACTTCTTAACCTGCTGAAGCTTATATAAGCTTATAACAAGGTTCCTACTGTCTCCAGAATTGTTCTATACTCTTTTGTAGTTTAAAAAAGATATACATATATATATATCAGTAGAACATTATTTATGCATGTTCATGTTAATTGCTCATTACTGAATTCTTTTTTTTATTGAATTATGTGCTGTTGTAAAAAATACAATTATGAGGTTATCAGTGACCACATAATACTAAAATGTTACAAAATAAGTCTGCCAGAAATTACTTCAGCACATGAAAATTGTGACATGAGAAAAATCTTTGTATCTTTCTTAGTTACTGATAGTTTCACAGCGATACTTAGGAAAAAGATACTGTTTTAATTGCATTGAAAACGAAATCCCAAATTCTGTGTTCAGACTCCTCCACAATTAACCTTCTTGGCTGAGCTATTGCACATTAATAAAATAAAAAATAAATTAATACATAAAAAAATCTAAGTATCTCCATCTGCAGGTATTAAGAGTTGTTTCTTTCCATGTTATTGTTCCTGTTATTTTAACGATGCATAGTAATTCTTTTCAACAACAACAAAAAATTTAAAGTGGAGAGAAGAAAAAATAAAGGAGAAAAAGATTCTAGAAATGGAAAGTGTCTATTATTTTGGTCAAGGAAAATGTCATTAAAAGCCAAGCAATAGCTACACAATGGAGTCATTGTGAGAAATTTCTTATGAAGTGAAAGAGGATGTGAAAAAAATTCTCTCTTATAGAGGCATGGAGATGGTGTTTGTTTTGGTGTTGTATGTAGTGAAAGGTTAGAGGAAGGACAGTCATGAGCTCTAAACTCCCTCTAATGGCACAAGGGATGTTAGACTGTTGGGAAGCAATAGCAGACCTAAAAACATTGTGCTACTATTTGCCATGGAAATAGATTCTTAATCTCAAAATGAGAAACATAACTGTAGTTTCTTGGTCATCCTTTGCCCAACGTAGATTTGCTTTGCTCCTGTTTTAACAGATACCATCAGATCCAGAAGCTAAAATATGAAATAGGCTTAGGAGAAGTGTTTTTTATAGAATAACAAGATAAATTTTCATCATGCAGTGCAAAACTGTGCAAGAAATTCCTGAGCCAGCTCTTGAACAGGAAATGCAACAGCTCTGTCAGCACAGCACTTTGCCTCATCTAAGGCATGTCTGTGCTTATGAGTGTGAGCTAGTGGCTGAGTGGTTCTGCCCTGTGCTGCACAGACACTAAATGTGGCAGAGGACTTCTTACACACTACCACAGTGTACAGCTTAGATGTTCCCATTGTGTTTCACTTGTCTGAAGAAACAAACCCAGAAAAAAACCCGTAAGGAAATGAGAAAAATATTGAAGGACACTGCAAAATGTCTACACTACAGGACTGCTCCACGTTGAGTGAAATCCCATATTCCTGAACAGTGTAGCAGTATTATCTCTAATAACAGGATCATATAAACTCTCACTTTAAATCTGACAAACTTCATTATTTTTATAATATTAAATGTTTGAAAATCCCTAATTCAGACCCAGGAAGTCATGAGAATGTCTTTAAAAATGTGAGGGGATTTTTAAATGGAGTTTGGAGTTCTTTCTATTTTCCATATAGTATTTAAGGCTAAGGCTCATGTTTGGACTTTCCTCCGCTTCTACACTGGCTAAAATCCTAACAAAATCAGAGTTTCCTATATGATCACATTACTCCAGGAGGTGGGAAGAAAATAAAATTCCAGCCCACAAAAACTGTTAAGTTTCATTGACGCTATCAACAAAATGAGCAATGGTCAACATTCAGCTTCAAACAACAGGTGATTTTTATCAAACCAAAGCTGTTTAGTAATAAATTAGAGACAAATGCAATCACTAAGATTGCATTAGTGTTACAAAATATGCTATATTACATTTACGGACTTACTACTGTACAGTCTCAGGACAGAGTGATTGTCTAATACATGATCACTCAAGTAATTTCTGTCCTTTGTGAAGGCAGGTGTATTTACAAAGTAATTAAACTATAGTATGCAAAATAAATTCAAATGGTGCATGTTATGATCCAACATATGGGTTTTCTATGATGTGTTTTTGGATGTTAGATTGAGTGTTCACTTATGGCAGTGATCCTTTATGTATTAAAGTTAGTCATACACTGCTGTGCTGTGTGCACTATGCTACCTACTCAAGTAGACATAGAGTAAGGGTTGTCTTTAGCACTGTCTTTCAGAAAAGTGTCAGCAGTGCATGCAGCACAGATTTACAGTATAACCCACTGCCATATCTCCTTCACAAAAATAATTTGTTACCAGTGAGAGGGAGAGAGAGTCTGATGCTTGAGCAAGACTTTCTATTTAGTTTCTATTTTGTTAGCAGTCCTATATCAGCACAGTCAGGATAATTATTCAGTTTTGCAGCATCTATTACTATCTGGCATTAGACCTGGAGGCATTCAAGGCCAGGCTGGATGTGGCTGTGGGCAGCCTGGTCTAATGGCTGGCGACTGCCTATGGCAGGGGAAGTGAAACTAGATGATCTTTGAGGTCCTTTTCAACCCAGGCCATTCTACAATTCTATAAAATCTGTATTGTATATATTCTCAGTGATCTCACTGTACCCAAAGCTGAACTTCTCCTCCTCAATTCTGTCCTATTTCTTATTTTTTTCAATCTATTCATGTTCTCACCTCTTTTACTTCACCATTATCACTGCAGCACCTTATTTATTCATTTTCCCCATAATTTGTCAGCCATTGCACTTTTATCCACATTGTTCTGAGCATTTAGTAGTTGGTAACGTCCCTGCACTTCCACATAGCTTTTCTCATGATCCACTACTTGGCTTTTCACTTTGCGTATTTCACTCCCTCTGGATGCATTGTTGTTCATTGATCTCTTAGATGGTGACTAATTCAGGAGAGCATTTGACATGTGTTTGGATATAACCAACTACATTGCAAATCCTGTCATAAATAAAAATTGGAATGAAATGTTCAGGCTGGGATAAAGTTGCCTCTTGGTGTTGGTATTTTGGAGTCTTTTCAAAACGTATGGGTACTACTTGGGCCATAACCTACAAAGGTGACATTGTGTTTTTGTAGTATTTATTGTGACAGGTAAAATCATGTTAATGATCTGAACAGTGTAGCTTAGGAACAGCCTTCCAGAAGAAAAATTGGGCAGTAAACAGGTGGGATGATAAGACTATGAAAGATGAAGAGGTGTTGCTGCTTTATGTAACCTATATTTAATGAGAGAAATGTCTTTTCCCAGTGCTTTTTCCTACATGGCATATTTTATATTTATTGTTTAATTATCACAATTGCCTTTTGAGATAATAAATGTTATGCTCATTTTATGGATGTGTAAATAGTCTTGGTTTGTACTGTAAAAACCCTGAATTTCCATGTGGAAATTCCTAGGTTTGATGAACATTACTTCACAGAGGCCACGAGATAACTTATAAAAAAATGAAGTAATTCTTTGTCTCTAGGCCTTAAGAATATTGTTTGTCTTTCCTGAATGCAATATAGAGAACAAATTTAGATAGGAATCTTTTTCAGTTTAATGCCCTATTCTGTAACTTGCTATTCTGTGAAATTGTCAGATGCCTTAAATTATGTAGTGATGGATGTAGTTGCTATATCAATAAGAGTCTTTTAGGGAAATTCCAGGTTCTGAAGGGACTGCCACAAGTGATACAGAAAAACGGTGCTTTTCCTTCTTGAGTCAATATTGACCCTGATATTTCCAGGGTGGTGTTGTCAGACCATTGTACTGTGCAGTAGACAAAAGTCACAAAGCAGGACTCTCCCCTCTGCATTGATTTACAGTCCAGTCCTCACAAGATTTGAAAATACGGAAGATACCAAAGCTCTGAAATTGTGTGTAATAATAACGACAATTTATTTCACTTTTAGCTAGGTTTATGTGCAAACAGCAACAAGGAAGTTTTACATAGATTTAGAGAGAGGAAGTACTTGGTTGTACTGGAGGAAGAGTGAAAGTTGAAGCTAGATGTGGCGGCATGCGAAAGGGATCAAAAGAAAGAGAAATATATGGAGCTAGAAAAAGCCAAATGCTGGAGAAACAGAATTAGAATAAAGGCACGGAGTACTGAAGACCTAATTCAAAAAGGAATTGGAGATGGGAGTACAAGAAGAGTAGTATAGTATTGCAAATTCATGTCCTCTGACTTCTGAAACAAGCAGAGTGGTTTTGATTTGCAGAGGAAATTAAAAATGCCCTGAAGATAATGAAAATGGAGATCAAGAGGTCCCACTTTCCTGGCAATACACTGAATGTCCTGGAAGCACCTTGCATCATTTAGTGCTTTTTAAATTCTCTTTCAGAGAAATCAGTGTTGCGATTGCTGGGTTGGAATAGTATTGTTAAGCAGAAGAGGTTAAGGAGAACAGCATATTGCTAATTTCTGAGCTAATATTATCTCCCTGTAATGTTATAGATTGCAGCAGCTTGTTTGTTCTTTTCCTGAATGTCCTAAAATCTTTTTCCAGTGGTATACCATGAGACCTTATGTTCCAAGGAGATATTTTTTAACTTACCACCATGACTCTCTCCATCGCTGTTGAGATATTGGTAATAGTCATGGGGCTGTCGGTAGAGGTCTGACTCATAGGACACCATATCTTCAGAGGGCTGTAAAGCGAAAAGGAATTTTTAGAACTATAAGCTTAGACAAATTCCTTCAAAATTATAAATTATTCATATCTGTTAGTGAAGAGAAGATGCCAACACATTTTATATTGCCTAGAGAGGGAAGGGGGAGGCTTCAAGTTCTTATTAAAGCAGCAGGAGTAAAATGCTTGACACCAAATAATGTTCTGCAAGAAAAAAAAAAAAAGGAAAAAAAAAAGAAAGAAATCCGTATCCTTAGATGTGGTGAGAGTTTTCTGCTGTCTGTATAACATAACTTGTTATGTGGTATTGCACAAGTTCTTTATAACCCATCCTTGAACCTCTATCCAGCTACCTTGGACAGGAGGCCCAAGCTAAGATACCACCACACCAGCCCAGCAGAGAAACATTCTCTTCATACTAACAGATGCTTTTTCTTCTTCCTCCTATACACAACAGAGAAAGAAGAAATTTGCCTTGCCTGAGCATGTTATTCTGGGTCTTTTTAAGCAGATCTTACTAAATTGTGACAATTTGTAGGGGTAATGATGTCAATGGAGAGCAGGAAAAGAAATTTTAGCAAGGCAGTGACCAGCGAAGTTCATGACAATAATTTCTTCCAATCTGAAAAAAGTCCTGTGATGTCAGCAGCAATGTAGAAATGAAAAACCTTCTTGCAACTTGCTCTGAAAGGAGATTATTTCTGAGAGGTACTAATAGAACCATTTTTCTTCTGTTAATGCCTTTAGCATAACAAACTTTAAAGAAAAGGACAAATTTAAAATAATACAATAACTGATAGAAAAACATGTGCATATGTTTATATGCTCATATATTCACCAGTCTTTTGCAAGCTTAGGCTATGGTGACAGCATGCTAGAAATGCAGGTGAGGCTTCTCTTTTTATTACTCCTTTAGATTCTCATGAACAAGAACCCTATGGCATTAGTTGCCATTACGATCCAAATGGAGGTGGTAGATAAGCAGCTGACAAAAGAAAAGGAATTATTTCTGGATATAACTAGACCAGAGTTGTTATTGCTCAATAATTCTTGTCTTTAATTCTTCTATTTGTCAGTTCATTATGTTGGAAATATAGTATTAAAAATTTGTCCATTTTCTAAGAATTTAATTTATATGATGACACTGAACAAAGCAGATCAAGAAAAAGATGGACTTATTCCCAGAAGAGTAAGATGTTAGAACACAAAAGGTTAGAAAATAATTTTACAAAGTACTTTGGACCTCCATATATTCTTAATGGCAGCTGCATGTTTTATCAGTTTATTGTATTAGAATCTGGCAGCAAAATTGCTTAAAACATCATGACTTCCACAATATACACACTGCTTGGTCATCAGACCCATGAGGCTCAAAGCCTCAGGAGCGAATCCATTGCCTGTCTGTCAGCTCCCCATATAACCTATGATGGTAAATAGCTGTTCTGAGAAAATCTTGAGAAAATTATAACTTACAGTAGACAATGTAAGAAAATACATTGGAAATAGACAGTAAGGGAATACTAAAGAAAGGGAGTAAATTATCATTTACTAGAACCACAGCAGGGATACCACTGAAGAGACTCCTCTTATTTCTGGTCTCTAGAAATGATAGGTCCAGTTTCCTTTTCCAAATCAATGTGATTCCAACAAAATTTCCCTTTGACTAGAAGAGATTTAATGAAGAGGGCAACCCACTTTTGGATTTCAGAGGGATGATAAAAGGAGACAGAAGCACACACAACTCCTCTCTGATGCTTCTGTTTCTACTATTTTCTTTCTACACATTTTCTTTGTGTTCTCTCTAACCATGACTGATTATATGCATTCAGTCGTCCTGATTTCTTACACCTGTGGTGCTTTCTGATCTCTTCAAAGGAAAAGCAATGAGGCCTTGCTTTGCCTTCTTTACAGACCAGACAGGAGGATGACATTCTGAATGGAATTTATTGTCTTCCTTATCTCTGTAAATTAATTCACCCTACTACTCCATATTCATAAATATATGCTTTCTGTTAAAACTGTGTAGCCTGAAGAATGTCACTATGAAATTCCTGCCTTTATGGGATATCAGCCTTCATACTCAGAAATGATCATTTGTCATAATTCAGAGGAAAACACAGAGAGACTTCAACATCCAAATGCAAAATGAGTATCGTTCTCCTTGGAAGAAATGGATGTTAAAAAAAATCACAGAAGAGTATATAGAAAAGTATGTATACTAGAAAAGTATATATACTTGTTTCCTTTCAGTTCAAATATGCTAAACTGTCTGAAATTATACATATTTTCCATATATAAATGCATCCAAAGTTGTAACTTATTGGAGTAAACAAATTTCCAAAGAAATCAGTGTATAGTCAATTAAGCTTTATTTGCTACATATGAAGTTTCTACTGCTACAACAAAAACTTTACCAGTCATGCTTTTACAGGCCAAAGAGCAGTCCAAAAAAGATAAATGACAAAAATTCAAAAGTTTTAGACATGGAAAAGAATAATTGACTTGCCTAGTTGCATTCCTCCTTAGCTGTCTCTTCTTCCCTAAGATTTTCCAAACTCTTGTATTTCAGTCTAATATATACTTTATCAGCCAATGGTTTCTTTGAAATGGTTTTTTTGAAAGCTGAGAATGAAGTACTTCTACTAATGAAAAGCTTGTTTTACAAGTTCAGATATGTACAGTGACCAGAGCTAAAGGAAGGTGTGTTAAATAGACTCTTAAAAAAAACCATTTCCCTAATCGTTACAGTTCTCATCAAGTGCAGAGATGCAGATACTCAGCATCTTCAAAACAGTCTGCTTTTACACTGATCACTGTGTTTACATACTCTGTGTTGAAAGTCTGGAGCTTAGTCTCTTTAGTATGAATTGTTGGAATTTTCTTGATTTTTTTCCTGCTTACTAGTCCATTGGATAGAATATGTATATGTCTGCCCTTATTTATTTACACAACCTGGACCAATCCATCACTACAAACAATTTGAAATGGCACCATTTTCCATCTTGGTGTCTGATCGTCAAGAGTACATAAATTAATATGGGAATATTTATATTAAATACTTAAATAAGCTTGTCTATCATATTTTCCATGATTATTTTTATCCTATGGAAATGTGGGATATTTTCCTCTATTCAACAGATAAAATATATCCAAGAACCTGTTTGAAATCTCTCTTTGAGTTTTCTTCTTTTAGGTTTTATTTAAAGCTTATTTGTCTCTAGTTGGAAAGAAGAGGTTTCACCCTGTGCTGCCTCTTGCAGTAATCATTACCCACTTTGTCCTCTGGAACCTCCCCACCCACATACATATTTCACCATCTTTCTTACTAATAGCACTTCCATGACATTGAACTATTTTGTTTCACCAGACAAAAAGCAAAGAATTAGTTATTTTAGAATTAACTTTTACACTGATTTCAATGGCCATTTGTTCTATCAATTGTTTTCATGCAAAACAGTGACTGAATGATTTGTTAACAACTCATAGCTGTGGCCTGAAGTTGATATCTCCTTTCCTGCATGCCCTGAAGTGCAGAATGTTATCTAAAACCATATTCCAACCTAAAGAAAGAGGTCAGTATTTTATCTGTCGCAGACTATGGTAAATGCAGAGTTGCTTTTATCTTCCTTCTTCGCTCTGGAAACTCATGGGAAAAGCCACAAAACTTATTGGAGAAAATTTGGTTGGCATTGGTTAAGTGTGATACAGGAGACTCAACTGAATAACAATCCAAAAATTGTCCTGGTCAGATGATTTCAGGTGATCATAAATTCACTACATGCTTTCATTATTATTCCATCATAACTATTCAATGGCATGTGATACAGAAATACTCTACATGGTTTCCAACAACGTGCTGCTGAGACAAATTTAAGGCCAAGATTAACTATATTTCCTTGGCGGGGGGGGGAACAACAAAAAAAAACCACAGTATAACTATTTTAGAAAAGATGAGTAAAAATGCTAGCAAGATCACTCATTGGGCCAGCCTTACCAGACCGCTGGGGTGAAGCAGTTTTGTGGAATAGCAAGTTTGGAGAGACTTTTTTCACTCTCAAACCTCCATACAGAGCTGTGATTTCTACAGTGACCACCTTGGCCCTACTCAAATATATAAATAGAGCCCACTTGGAAGACTTGGGTCCACTTTGCAGTACTCTGCCATACAAATATTCATAGTCTGCAGAAAGATGCGTACTCCTAAAATTCTGGAGTAGCGTTTTCCAAAGGAAGGTTACAAGTTTCCCAGCAGAGTTGAGAAGAAGGCAGTTGTTGACCCACCCTCAACTGAAAGGGGAGGGACAGAGGAGTAAAACGTTGCTTCACAGGAACCCCTGTGCAGAAACAGGGTAATGTCTCTTCTCAGAAAAAGTCCCAAGAGGCACAGACATTTATAGTGATGCCATGCTTGGGCAGTAATTCACCCTGCTCAAAGTGCACTTGAAACAATTCTGAAAGTACAAAACACATAAATACTCACTTTTGAATGCATTAATCACAAAAATAAGAAACAAATTACCGAGTGTTCCTTTAAGATGCAATTGTATTTTTACTGCCTGTTGTTTCATTAACCTGACTTCAGCCAGAATACTACTTGCAAAACAAGTTAGAATATAAGCGAGACTATGTTAGATTTTTACTCACAGAATCACAGAATTGCAGGAGTTGGAAAAGACCTCGAGAGATTGTTGAGTCCAACCCCCCAAATTATTCAATGTATGAACTGGAATTCAGTACTTTAAGAAAGAGTACAGGAAAGTTGGCTTTGAGTGATTGAGTAGACAGAAAATCAACAATAATAATAAAACTGAGATGCTGCTTGCTGGGTAATTGAGGACAAGGTTTGGGTGCTTTTGAAGGGGATTTTTGGCAAGCTCACCAAGTAACATATTGAAAAATCTATAAATTATTGTTTTTCATGCTCTCAATTTCTTTTTGGGTATTTATGCTGACGTATTTACAAAAATTAAAAAAGATTTTTAGGGTCTTCTCACACTTTGGGTAAATAGTAAATTTTAAGGTCACCACTGATTAACTGTTAGAATAAACAATCTCCCAAATGTAAGAAGCAAGTATTTTTTTCAATCAATATAGATTCCAGACAGAAAAGAAATTCAAATTACCATTTTTTTTTTTTCCTGGAGATCTGAAGATAAGGAAATATGGTTTAATCTTCATTAGGTGGGACAATACAAAAAGCAAACATGATGTGTGTTTTATTAAAAGGACTCTTGATTGGGCATTGTCTTTTTTTCCACATATAGCAAGTACTGTAAGTTATCTACCACATTTAAAAAAAAAACAACAATTAAAACACTTTATCTGATATCACTCTAGGTTACACAAACTTCATAAGATCTTGTTAGAGCCTCTGTCCCATTTTGCTTAGAAATGCCCCATGAAGGTTTGTTTCTCAACGACAGGCTAGTGCCATTACATTTTCATAAAACTGATCTTCAAACTCATGGTAGAATATATTACAGCAGCGTAACAATGCTTCAGAGTTAAAAAATAAAAAATAAATTAAAAAAAAAAGATAGAGGTAGCCTTGTTATCATACAGAAGAATTTGTGTCTAACAGAAAATATTGAAAGGCCCAATTAAGCGCAGTGAAGTTTTTCCCTCATTCACCAGTTACTTTTTTACAACAAGTGAATTCAAGAAAATTCAGATTCAGAAGAATGTGAAGGTAGAGACTAAAATACCATCTTTACAAAGAGCACAGAGTCCAAAAATCTACAGTAGTTAGAATCAGTATTCAGCAACTCTAAGACTGATATAAAGTTAAATACACAAATTATATAGGTCTCCAGATTATGAAAAATTACAACTCAAAGCAAGAGTCGGCCTAATATCACAAAGCTGGTACTTGTACTGACTTGCCATATGCATATCATACAGAACTAGCATGCATTTAATCTATGAAAGCAAATGGAGATCAAGATCCGATACAAGCGTAGGGAGGAAACGTTAATTTCCCATTCATTGTAATGTTGTCCCAAGATTTATCTATTGACCTGAACCCAGGATCTGAACCATTTTCTCAGCATTACAAATGTAAGCCAAAAGAGAACATTCTCAAATATTAAAATGTTTTTCTGCTTTGTCTTTTGCTACTGAACCCAATGATCCACATTAGAAATAAAGCCCATATACTCACAGGGGGAATGAGGGGAAATCCTTCCATTTTGCAAGCTTGCAACATTCAGCCAATTTCAGCGTGAATTTTTCTTAATTCAGTTTTCAAACATCCAGAATAACTGACTTGAAAAATCACATGAAACAAACAAAAACAATGAAGAGAAAAAAGAAAGAAAGAAAAAAAAAAAAGAACAAAAGTGAGATCCTTGGACTTCGTGAAGTCCCTTTGCAGTGGTGGATCTCAGGATAGGAGAATAACCCTAACAAGTTTTCATAGTTTGCCCTAATAGGTTCTGAGGTGAACTTCTTTCCAAGTCTGTAGAAGGGAAATAGCCCTTGGGTCTATCAGTGTTCTGTGACATCATCACAGCTCTTAGCCAGTTTGCATAAATCTCATTTCAGGGAGCTGTGGCGCTCTAACAGGAAGTCTGCCCCAAGCCAGATCAGTATTGAGCAGGTGCCTGCTGTATAATCAGCAACCCAGCGCCTGGGCCTGCTACCAATAAACAAGTGTATGGGTACAGTGTGCTGTGGTAAGCTTATGTACTTCCAGCTGTGGAGGAAACAAATGATGGTACTGCTCTCCAGTTTAATGATCACAGAGCCTGACAACTTCTGTGAAGATAGTGCAGTGGCATAGACTTGATTTAATAATAGCCCTGATTGGAATTAAGAGAAAGGAAAGAAAAAAGTATGCAGTTTCAAGTACACATTCTCAAATATTTAAAATATATATATTTTTATTTTTTTTAACCAGTTTTTAATGTTAAAATATCATTTTCTACAAAACCAAACTGAACCTGTGAGACTTTCTCCATAAAATTTGCTGCAGAGCAAAATTATACAGAGAAAAATATTAAGTCTACTTACTTGTTTCTTGTGATTTCTTTCTAGGCACTGCAAGGATAAAATAAGTTGGAAAGGAGAAAGCATTAAATGCCACATAATGGCTTTACTTATCATAGAAGAGTGCCTTTGATAGTGAGAACTAGAGAGCAAGGTTTATGGACTGGTATCTGAACAGCCAGATGTTGAAATTGCATGTAAAAGTTTTACTTAAGTTCTATGCACAATTTCTTTCCCCTTTCTCTACTTCAGTCAGTACTGCTTTGTCTACACTGAACACGTGCCCTTCTCACCAAGGTTCAAGGGGTGAGTGGGTCACAGTGCAGGGTGTAAAGGATGGGGCCTTGCTGCAATGGGAGAACTCTTTCATTCTGCAAAATGTCTTCTTGCTTTGCAATTAGTTACTAATATCTTGGAAAAGTGAAGTTGCTTTCTCTGGATTGTTCCCCTTCAGAGTATGCCCGTGTGCCACAGGTTCTGCTTTTGAAAGTAGCCTGTTCACCACTCACCTGGGTGTATGTATGAGGGGGAGTTTTAGCCACTTCAAACTTCCTCCCTCATACATTGGTAAAACCAGAGGCTACTCACAAGTTCCTCTCATTCCCCACCCTAAGGAACCAAATAAGCAAACCATGTTAGCAATGGGATAAGATCAAAACACACTGGGAGATTAACTCTTGATGCCCAAGTCTGAATTTCACTGGCATCAGTTGATACATAGCCATTTCATTCTTACATTGCTTGTACCATGAAATCTTGACATTAACCTTGAAATAAGCAAGTTCCTAAACGGTCAATTTCTGCTTCAGAGATTATTGTCAAGTCTCCTTTTGGATAAAAGCTTATAAGTGATCAGATCTATCTGGGGAAACAGGAAGGCGACAACATTACAATCCTAATGATAAAGTTTGATGAATACAGAAAAGAAAGGAGTATACAGTAGCATACATATTCATTGCATATAGGGTAATGAAAGGAATTGTGGAAACTGTATGTGCATTTAAAAGGCTATTTAGAACAGAGAAATAAGCTATCTGATTCTCAGTATGATGAAAGATACATTAAGCAGCTACTGGAAGGTTTTAAAGTGTCATGCTTTGCACAAGGGGTTTTCTATTAGGGTAGAATGTAACTATATTTAATACACTGGAGGATATTTCAGCACTGCCCCTTAGCACAGGAAGTTACCTAATAAGGATACATAGTTTGCGGCAGCCTTACTGCACTTAGGGAAAGCTAGATTACCAACATTATCAGTGTTAACAACTGTGTTTAATATATGAGTAGTCATAAACACATTAAGCTTATCTACATAAATAATCAGCTTGATTATCTCTATGATGAATTAGAGCAAAACAATAGGCCAGAAAGCTCGGGGAGCAGCAGAAAGTCCAGAAGTTGAATAAACTTCCTAGGAAGAAGAGAATCTCCATAAATGGAAATGCTAGAAGTTAAAGAAAATGCTTGTTTACACTTTTATAGCTGTATGGAAACATTACCAGTGACATTCTTACTAAAATAAACAATGGACTTCCTCACTGTTGAGTATAACTGACATTTTGTCCTATATTTGTCACCACAGAATACTTCTGCTCCTAATGGAAGGTCTTTTGACCTAGATCCTTGGAGGAGATCTGGATTGGAGGATTGGAGAAAATCCTGCCTAACTGGAAGATTAAATTTTTGAAAACACTTAATAATCATATCAAGTTGAATTATTTTTCCTGCTAGCACCACCTCAGCCTTGTGCAGCTTTTTGAAGCAGTTCCTCCTATACCGCTACCCATTTAATCATCAAGCTTTTTCTAACCACAGTCTACCAAAGCAAAAGGATTTCATCTTGAAGCCACATCACAGAGAGGTCCCTTTACCTCAAACCTTGCCTGGTGCTCAGAAAGTAATTTTTCTCCCTACTGAAACCATATACATCACTCATCCTGAAGCCCTTTAATAGAAGTAGTTCTCTACATAGATTCTGATGCTGAGTTTGCTTCTAACAGTAAGATAAGATCTCTAAACAAGCAAATCCCTTCTATCATCCATATTCTTCCCAGAGCTGTATTTTCCATTGAACTTATTGTGTCTAGAGGTGATGTAGCTTTTCTTCCTTGCTATATTGGCATCCCCTCCTAGAACTGATGCAGTTTTTAGTGCCAAAAAAAGTGCTTTTGATAGTCCAGCTTTCATGAATGCTTGTATATAACTGTACGAAGACTTTTCCAGTGGGAAATGTCATAAAAATGTCATGAAAATATCACAATCTTAAGTAACTTCACAATATTGGCAAAAAATTTCACATGTAGAATGGACTAAATCCAAATCAGAATGAAGATAATCATCTTCTTTGAAAGAAAGAGGAATCATTTGGGTGTGTATTAATTCAAAAGATTCACTTTTCTTGGAACCATATTACAGCACACAATCATTTGAAATATTGAAAAGCATTTCATTTATCTTATTATTAGTAACTTTTAAACTGTCCATAAAGCAGAATTCAGCAAGGTAGAAAATATCCAATTCATAATTCAAGATCTGCTTACAACTCAGCTATATTTGATTTCTTACTGTGTATGACTTTGTTTTGACTTTAAGGCACATTCAAACAGATTAAAGATTTGATATTAGTGTTTAACTGTTTTCTTCATTTACAGGCAGCGGATTTTCAATTCACATTCCTACTCATTTATAATCTGGACACTTCTGTATGAATTCAAGGAATTAACATGGAAGAGTGCTTTAACACCATCTAATCTTGAAGTCTGTGTTCCAGATTCAGATTGCATTAGTAAGATGCAAGCACTTATGTTTAATATCCCCTCATAGAGTCCTGTCTTGAAACTAATGTCCAATATCTCATTTCCATGTACGTTCATCTGTCAGTTTCCCTGAGATGTTCCTTTCAAATCAGATATTTTAATAGTAAAAATTAAACTATAAAGATGAGTTGCAATATGATTCAACAGGCCTTACCTGTAGAGACAGAAAAAAACACATTTTAGAACTGCAGTTATAATAAGTCACTGATCTAGACCCACCACTGGTATTCTATCCCTGGGTCCATAGGGACCCTCTTCAGCTGTGGCAGAGATATCTTTGCTTTGGGAACTTTGATTTGGATATTTAGGTAATTGTTTAGGTTCTGTTTTGAGAGTGCAGCTGTATCTATGAATTTGTGATTTTGCACTTGCATCTTATTGGGTTTGTATCAATTATTCATCTCCCAGAAATCAAAAAAGAAAAGCACTATTCACAAATAACCAACTCTTTAGGTAGATTCTGGCTTACAGCTGGGGTTCCTGTTCTCTGCCACCACTTTCATAAGGACTTTGTGTTTGGAATTTTGTTTAAACAGAAAAACTGAAGCATGTAAAGCCAATACTCCGTGTACATCCTCCCAGGAGACATTTGGCTTTATAGGAGGTGGAGAATATGCGCAAGCCCCATGCTGCAGCTTTATGTGTATGTAACTAGGACAGGTCTGTACAATTTGTGTATAACAGACTCTGTAGCTTATTATCTGCAGTGACTTTTTTCTTACAGAAGTAGTAACTGCCTCCTTTTATTCCCCCTGATTCAACTACTGGTCTTTTAACTTGAATTTTTTTTTTCAATTTAATGCAAACAATTTTCTATACTTCCAGTTCAGTATTTAACTGTACTGAACTGTGTTTAACTCTTCTCCTTGCCAGAAGTATAATGTAAAAATAGGAATTGAACAAAGACTAGGGAGGTCCAGATTTGTGAAGAGTCTTCAAAGGACTTCAAAACTTTTTTTTTTTTTTTTTTAATGTGGTAATTCAGACAAATTTAGTGTAAAATGAAATTTTAAAAAAAAAAGCACATTTGATCAGTATTTTGATTCCCCCTTCTGCTGAAAGAAGAAGAAAAAATGGAAAATGAAAAAATTCATCTGAAGCTAGAAAGTCCAGAGAGAATAGGCTGCCACAGTTCAAACCACTGATGGATGAGAGTGTATGTAATGAAAGGAAAGTAAAGAAGCTTACAGGTGTCCTGCAAGAGGAAGTTGCACATCCTTGATAGAACCTGCTTGTTTATACTGGCATAGTGTCAACAATAGACAACATAGAGACAAGACCCAAATTATAGTGAGAGTAAGAATAACTGTGCTAGAAGAAGGAGGTTAAAGAAAAGCAAAAATTAAGAGGAATTTGTTTTGACCTTTTTGTTTTAGTGGAAGCATTGTAGCATTTTAAGGAATGTTACAGAAGTACATGCCAACAGGTATAGATACATTTCAGAAAATCAACCTGTCTTCCCATTTTAGGAGAAGAAACCTCCATAGATCACATCAAATTAACAGTGTGGAGAGTTTAAGTCTGCATAGGTAGGAAGATGTCATTTCAGAGCAAGACATGCATTATAGAAGTGCAGAGGGGCAGATGATCTGGATGCTAAATGCATGTGTATGGCTGAAGGGGAAAAAGGGAAAGAGGAACTTTGGGAATCTCACCACGTAGAACTGGATCAATTCACAATAATTCCCAGAAGGAGTTAAACATTTTCTGGGGTTAAAGTGAATCAGAATCTGCACACGGTGTGCTGGAAATTCCCTAAATTATTTCAGTGGTCATTAAGAAAAGGGAAATGGTTCTTTTCTGAGTAGGAGATGGTAGGAGACAGAGGAGTAGACACCAAAACAGAGCCACAGCTGAGTATTTATAACTCAGCTGACTGTCCCCAGATTGCAGGATTCCTGCCAGCTGAGAAGGGGACAGACTTTCCTAGTGCTATGTCTGTTGAGAAAGGTCTTGTTAGCAATGTCTGACTGCTAACACAATGGACTGAGATAGTTACAATTCAGTTGCAATATTATGCACGGTTATTTACAGCGTGAGCACATGCAAGTTACATTGCTTACAAAAAGCATTCTGCTGATTAATGGAGTTTCATCTTTTCCGCATTTAACTTATTCCCACTGCTATAACGCTTGGTTTACTCAAGTTTTTTGCCTCTTCAGTCACAGACCTCGCCTACATATAAAGCTTTAATCTTTTGTTTTAAATTTAATTCAAATACTGGATTGTGTATTTAAATTTAACATAGTTGATAGTTGCAGCATATTATTACTAATTTTGATGTTTTTGTTTAACTCACTAATACATATGTTAAATTTAGCTTAACTAGTACTATATTTAGATCTGTACTTTCCAGCCAAGATTTACTGACTTTTCAGCTCATGAAATACAGGCCTCTGCAAGTCCATGGAGCATTTCTGAAGGATCTGAGAAAAATAACAGATCAATGAGCTTAAATTTAAAATGCAGGTTCTGTGTATGTTTGTATCTACATTGGAACATTTGTGAGTTCTGCAAGTGAAAGAGCTTTTGAACTTTCTGACCTGGGGGAACTTACTGATTTTCTTTTCTTTGCAAAGCTTTTCTTTTGAGAACCATTTTCCACTAGCCAAGATATTGTCATCATCCTTCAATGTAGGATTTCTGCTTTCTTAAGAAGCATCTGTCCCAAGTTAGTACCCACATTTTTCTCCACAAGAACAATGACAAAATTTACTTTTGTCATTGTTTATTTTACTTCTGCAGCAGGCAGAAGTGAAGACCTCAAAAGTGCTGGTGCTGTGTATCTCATTTTCCCAACCCTGTAGTGTTTCCTCAGCCCTGCTCCTATTGTTTACTGTGGTTGCTTCTATCTTCTTTCCTAGTAGGCTCTCCTTGATCCTATGACTTGAAGCTTTTTAATTCCTTTTTTGTACAACTGTGATGTTTCTAGACTGTTTCTGGACTGTGCTCTACTGACCCATCCACACTGTCTCCAGTTTTAAGATGTCTGAGGTATTGTAGAAGGTTCTTTTACAAATGAGGATCTCAGTATTTCTTGTTGCTTCACAGCAGTACGTTCTCATCATTATATCACGTTGTAAGATCACTGCAGTTTACAGTCAACTAGAATAACTGCGTTACTGATCACCCTGCCACTGTTTAACCTTCCAGAGGCCACTGTTCCTATGTGCATTGGATAGAACTTTTTTACTACTTGTTTATGGGAATGCATTTCCACTTTTAGTCGATGCTAACAGTATATGTTTACTGCAAAATTCTGCTTTGCAATGAGTATTTAGGAATATGCAGATCTCTTTGAATGTTTTGGAATGAAAATGGTGAGGAGGGGTACAGAGTTTAAAGCAAATTTGGTCTGCAATTAAACAGAAACCCACAGCAGTGGCTGCTGGACTGAGCTCACCATGTAGTTTCCAAACAAGCTGACAGCAGTAGGAATCGTGGTTTATAAAAAGCTGCCAGCAGTGCTGAGCTGGTGAAGAGAAAGAGGAAGCTACAACGGGAAAGAGAAAAAAAAGCACAACCAAAGGCAACTTCACTTCTCTGCCTTTACTGTTTTTAAATAGATTTGGCTCTAAGTTGCTGTTGGTGGTGCTGTGCAGAACAACGATAACCTCACAAATTGAGAGACCAACAATATTTTTCCTTTTCTGAGCACCACCTGCAGTTGCCTCTCAGTTCTAAGGGACTTCTCTGTGTTTTTGTACATACATGTGAGAATTTGTGTGTGTCTGAATATTGCCAAACCCATTGCTCAACAGCATGCCAGTAAATAGAAGTTTACTAGAACAGCTTTTGCTGCTTTACTCCTCCTTTGCACAGTATGATGAGCTAGCTTCCTGAGCTTGTTTGCTGGTGATCTCTTCTACTTCGTGCTCTGGATTGCACTTAATTCCTCTTGTCCTCTGGAAAGTGAAATATTGTTTCTCATTTTCAAATGGTAGTATCAGCAAATTGAGGCAATATTGACCTAATCATCTTCTACTGGACGTTAGGACTATGAAAATGTGCTCTTGAAGAGTTTAACTGGGGATAGAGGCACAGATTGACTCCTTTCACTTCGGAAAAGAGGTCTAGCTGGCCAAATGCTCTCTGGCCAGAAGACAAGCCTCCTGTTAAGTTGTATGTTGGGCCCTATTACAAATGTTAAGCCAGGTGACAGAAGATACACCACACCAAAAGAGAAGTGCAACTGGATAGCCAAACTCAGGAAGCAGAGAGAAAAATAATGGGAGAGGCTGATCAGAAAAATTAGATGGATTATACACTCCTTTATGTTGTGTCACAGCTTTGGTTCTTTGTAGTTTAATTGAGATGGATTAACTTTTTGTAGGTCCAGTCAGAAGAATGTCAGAAAAAGAAAATATTGCGGAGGAGAAGACCTTTAGGATTCCACAGATTAGCTGCATTTTTTGTTACATTGTTTAGTTAGGTGCCATGAAATGGTCTAGGTATGCTTTCAAAGACACAAGGAAAATTTTTTCACTTGATGCCAAAGCAGTGCTGGAAAAATCCCTTATGCTTGACTGGAATATAAAATATAAATCAAGTAATCATTATCATTCTGTTTCTACAAAATTAAATGAAAATCATTTTCTGTGTGAGGTTCCAAATAAAGTCTTAGCCCATCTCAGATTTATTTTCAGAAATCTGTGTTCTTTATATTTTTTAGATAAAACTTACCTTTTGAAATTAGATATGTTAGCCTGTAGTCCTCATTGTGACTGTACAATATGTGTATTTGTAAATTTAATTTGTGTTTATTTTCTTACAGTGATCCACCTCCATTTTGGAAATCCAAAGATGAGTCAAAGGTAAGTCAAATTTTGTCAGATCTATGATAGCCTCTTTGTTTACCACCTTTTCATCAAAAAGTATTGTTATTATCATTTCAGAAAAGCAAATTTGTTTGAAAGCAAGCTCTTCCAGCAGATTCTCCTTATGGTGTGATCTTGCAGCAATAAACCCTCCTACAAGATTAACTATAATAGCTACTAACGTAAATGCCAATGCATTTGTAGTTTCTCAGGGTCTTTTTCCTGAGCTGTACTTCTACATGTTACAATTCTGAATGCACACCTTAGATATCATGGGGACCTTCAATCCTCAAAATAAAACTAAATACTTTATAGGTCCATTGTTGAGTTACCCAGGGCCCAGATTACAGCAGCATCTTCAAAATCCTTTGGACAAACTGGTGTAGTCATGTAGTAAGGAACTAAGAAAAAACTTAGCTCAACTAAGCTCAACTGTGATTCTAGCCATGCCACTGTCTACCACATACCTACTTCAGGCATCAGCTTAGAGATCTCTGCGCAATGATACATTACTCAGGATAGATGTGCTTTGTGACAGCTCATAGCATAGAAAGAATCACATCCTCTGGAGAACTGTCCTAGGACAGTTTTCTGACAAATCCTGTCAGCTAGCAGGGCTATCCTCTTGTTTTAGCACACTCTACAGAGGCTAAAATGTTTTCTTAGGCTACTGCATTTGCATTACCTAACTTTGTAACTTGACAGACAGATGGAGTGCCAGATTTGGGAAACATCTTCTAGAATCTGTAGTGAGGACTACATTGGTCATTTTTGTAGAATTGCTAATTTATCTTTGGGAATCCACTTAGAATCAATATCAACAACACATTTAAAGTGGTTTCAAAGCGACTGTAATTCTGCAGTTTTGATTCTTCAGTCTTTGTGTGCAAGTATCTCCAAGCCACTTTCTCCCTGCTATATGCTCTTTACCAACTAAGTTTTGGTCTTTTTATGGAAAAAAGTGGCTGTTAGGATGCAGTTCTACCTTTCTTTAATTTTCTTTCAGTTGTATAGGGATAAAGGGCACACTTTCTGCCCAACACCAACTACTAAACAAAAAACATTAGGCCTCTGACACATACACATGCACCACAGGCAGGATCTATAGCAGAGGTGAGGAATTGTCTTTCTTACAGCAGAGCCTCACCTTCTGTGGGTGCTGGTAAATCTCTGGTAAATTCAGAGAAGGCATATCCCTATATTTTGTGTATGTGTGTCAGGGGAGTAAGTTCACTGACATTGGACTTGATTGAAAATGAAAGGAGTTTCAGGAAAATATTTATTCAGTCATTTTTCCCTTTGTTAATTTCCCTTCGATTGCAAGTAAAACTATTCATAAAATAAATAGAAATAGCCTTTGCAACACTTTACAGCTGAATTTTGCTACTCCTTTTGTTCAGTAATATGAATTTGTTAATTCAAGGAAATTCTGTCACCACAGCTTTTCCTCTTTAACAGACTGAAGATATATCTAACTGATAGCTACAAACTTGCACTTGTATTCATGCACATGCAACTTGACCATCTGAAGCAAAAACTCTAACATTATGTGAACGAACAAGATTCTGGACTAACAGTGTCCAGAGTGGACTCTTTTGATGCCTATCTCTCTGAGAAACAGTAAGTTTCCAGGGTGTCCTACAGTGTAAGTGCGTGATATCCTTAGAAGTCCTACATCCCACACTTTGCTAGTACTGTCCACACTGGTGTTCATCAGTCTACATTTATCAAGCCTTGAAGATGAGATGAGGAGGATTGTTTTTAGTTAACTTATTCACTCTACTGAAGCTCCAAATGCGGACACAGTACAACATCTGTAACTATAATACAATTTTGAGGCCCCTTCTGTAAAAACCTGCTGTTATTTCACGTATGTTCATCCTGCTGATAATCAGTGGATAAACAACTTTCACAACAGAACTGCAACCCTCCTCCCCCACTCCTCCTACCAGACTGACAGTTGACTTGTTGGTTAGCCATGGACTCATAGCAGTCTTGGATAGCCAGTTTCCACATAGCATCCTAGCCTCTCTGCTCAATATGAACTCTGCCATTTGTGGAATGCAGTTCTAAAGAACAGGGCAGGCTTATCACATAGGTCTGTGAAGGCCTATTTCCTCATGAAGAAGTTTTTGAGCCAGTGCTGGACATGAATAACTACAACATAATGTGATTTGATCCCTCCAGTTCCAAAAAACACTATTATATTTTTTTTCAGAAGTTAGCATAATTCATTATGTCATCCAAAACTGGTGTGTGTTCTATTTTGCCACCCTCCATGTCTTTTAGCATTGGATTTCCTCCCCTGAGGACTGTCTCTCCATACTGCTTCCATAGTTTGTGAACACCTCAGATGAGGTTAAAAGGAATTGCCCTGCAAGAGCAATAGTAGCTAAAAAATGAGCATTGTGACAGGCATTTAATGATGTATGTGATTGAGAACTGTAGTAATTCTGGTTTTAAGCCAGGAAGGAAAAAATAAATGTCATCTAATAATTCAAAATTATTCACAGAAGAGTTTTGCTTAGTGGTATGGAATAGAAGACTTGGATTTGCCACTTCTTATTCTAGTGTTTTCTTTACAAAACCCTGTATAGATACTGCTAAACAAGCTTGGTGAGATTTTCAGAAAAGAATGGAGTTGGAGAAACCATCACATGAGAGTAGAGACACTGAGCCACAACAGGAAGATATCTAGAGGTTTGTCTTTATTTCTTGCATTCTCCAGCAGAGTGAATGTTTTTGTCATATGAGCTGGGAACTCAGGAACACAATACTTGAGCTCAAATAGCTTCAGATTAACCCCGTCAGTGAAAACAGGTGAAAGTGAAACAAATGCCGTGCAGAGAGAGGAACCCAAGCTCTTTCATATTCACTTCTCTGTGAAAGGACTCAGGGCAGGCCCCTGGCAAGAGTTCATAAAGCAAGAGGACATTAATCTCTATTAAATATTTGTGTAAAACACAGTTAAAGGTAACAGAGGAGCAGGCAAGAGCAGGAAAGAGGAAAGGTCCAGGAAGTGGAAAGTATTTTGGAATGTTTTAGACAGTGTAGTGTGTGGTCAAAGAAGATCTGTAATTAACTGCAAGGGTTTTAGCCCATAGGTAATGGAATATAAAAAGGCATTCTCTCTTAAGTCTATTAAAAGCATCCAGCGCGATATTAACATTTGGAAATCAGTTGAATTAAGCATATGATCACTTTGAGGCAGGAGATCTACAGCAAGTTCAAGGAGTAACAAAGATATTTGTTTGAAAAGAAGTCTCTGTTCCTCTCTGCTCTAGCCCCAAATGTCAGGACCATACATAGCTCCCTAGAAGGGGCCCACCAACCCTGCCTTCTGATGTTGCTCTTTTCAGAATTAAGAGAGGTTTTCTAGGCTTGCATTTTCTCACTGTCTCCTTTTCATTTGGTGTAATTATTGTTTCCACAAGGTAGACTTGGTCTGCTTTGGGGCATGGTGGTGAAGACAACAGCAGTGAATTGAGCTAGTAATTGTGAAACTGTCTGGAGCAGGCAGGGAAGCTTGAATCTGAACTGAAAAAGGTTAAAAAAACAGTTAGGTTAGTTTGTCAAAAAAGCCTGATGCTGTGACAGATGAGTTAAATCACAGAGGAAAGTCTACTGTTTAATTCAGTGAGCTTAGTGCATGGTAAAATGTACATCATCTTGTCTCTGCAAGATTTCTCAAGCATATGTTAAGCAAACAGGTGTTAGCGTCAAATTTCCAGACAATCTAGGGGCCAATGTGAGTCTGGATCTCAAAGTATAGTATGAATTTAAATGGTTTTTTTTTGTTTGTTTCTTTTGTTTTTTGTTTGTGTCTATTAAGCAGGTGCTTCAACTATTCATTTCAGTTTTAAGAGTGTTCTGTTCAGGGAAGCCTTCACAATGATCCTGCTTATATTGTAAACAGGTATGAAGAATGTCTGATATTGATATGAAAGTTTTAATAATACCAGTCGAGGAAAGTTGTAACAGGATAGATTTGTTCTGCATCCTTTATGTTACATCAGAGGATTTTTTTTTTTTTTTTTTTTTTTGTCAATTTATATTCCTTTCCTGTCTTTTACCAAAATAGGTTCTTCTATCAACAAACTGAATTTAGTGTATCCTTGAACCCTCCAATGGTTTGAATATTTTTTGACCAAATGTCTGTGTAAAGGTATTTCTCTGTTTCAGTAACAGCCTTCCTGTCCATCCACTTTTACTGGCTTGTGGTTGTTTTTCAAAGTCTTGTGATGCATCGTGATTCTCGTATTAAAAAAATTGTTATTGCAGAGAATGGACTGTATTTCAGTGAACAGAAAAAAATCTTTTCCAAAAGTTTTATGATTTTTGGACCGGTCTCATGACCCACTGTGGTCTGTCTCTTGACTTCTGACTATTTGGCGTTCTGAACATTCCCCAGACTCTTTGCAGTGCGTAAGTAGGTAGCCCAACACCACCAGAGGTAGAGTTCCAACTCTGGAAAGATTCGGGATTTTTCTGTAAGGATGGGATGGTGATTCATTCTGAGCTCTCACAAGACTATCATGCAGCTGCCCCTGTTTCAAAATCAGCAGCCGCGCCAGTTCGTCTCCATCAGCCTTGAGAAAACAGGAAACACAACGGTCACCACAGGAAGCGGTGCGCTCTTACACACACCCCAGAAAACTTAGCTGCTGAACCTATTGCAAAATGTTAACAGAACACTGTAGGGTACACAGAGAAAGACACGAGAAATCTGCTGACCTCTGGGTGCCTGCAATTCTAATCTTCAGTTTCTGAGGCCTGGAGATTAACTCAGTCAACAACATGTCCTGTGCTTTTCAATTACAGCAACTTAAATCCCCTTCAGTTGGACACTGTTATCAGAATGAATATTTCTGCTCAATTATTTTGTTTCATCCCAAAAACTTGTACAGAAGTGCAGTCAGAAGCTTCTTGTCTGTAGGACTGACAGACAAAGACAGAAAGATGGAGAGGACTATGTTTTATTCATCATGATTAACTGT